AAAAGGATAACTGAACTCCCACTTGACTGAGAACGAACCATCTCTCTTGCTGGGAAGAGGAAGGCCAGTCAGGTTGTTTCGGGTCCGCTGGGTTTAGAAAAGTTAGCCTGATGATTGAGTCATCACTCCAAAGGGGGAGGGCTTAACAGCGCGAAGCAGTGATGGCTCCACTCCCTGCACGCTGAGCGTCAAGGACCACCCCGTCTATAAAATGGACTTTAAAGCAAGTCGCCTGTAAAAGGGGATGATGCCACCGACTTCTTAGGGTGGTTGTGGGGATTTAGGAGGCGGCGGACGGGTGTGCGCTTGGGGGAAGGAGGTACAAGCTTTCTTACCCGGGGCTCTGGAAGGCTCCAGGTCTCAGGGAGGGGGCGGCCAGCCTGCCGGGAGAGGACCCGAAGGCAGCGCGGGGCCAAGTTCAGAGTCACCCTGCCATGACCCCCGGTGCGCCCCATCGCAGCTCACAGCCGCTCCTCTGGAACTCGCGGGCAGGGCTGCCTCGCGGGGAATCGCGTCCTCCGCCGGTCGCTGCACCGCGCTCTCCGCGGGCACGTCAGGCCGAGCCCGAGCCGGGAGCGCGCCCTGAGGACTCCCGGAGTCCCGGCCGCGGCCGGAAGCTCCTCTTCCTTCGCCCACACCGGGCCTCTCTAGGAGCCCCGGGCGCCGGCGTCTCTGTGGGAATAACCCCTTCGGCCCCAGCAGGCTAATCTACTGCTGGAGAAGTGGGTTCGCCCTGCAACGTAGAGCAACGATTGGATGATTACGGCACCTGTATTCAGAGGGCAGAGTCAAACTGCCCGGGTTCAGATCCCAGCTCAGTAAGGTGTGAGCGACCTTGGGAAGTTATTTCACCTCCTCGAGCCTCGGCTTTCTGATCTGTAAAATAACCGTATCCACCTCAAAGGCTTGCTGTAAGGAATCAACGAATTAATACACGTAAAGCAGTTACAATTGAGTACCTGACATAAAAAGTGCTCAATAAAGGCGTCATCACTATTCTTTTACTGCTTCCTTTTGAAAAAAAGGGCGGTTGGTAGAGGGTTAGTTTTGTGACATGAGAATAAGGTGCATGACAGAAATGATAGTAAGAGCTGCTATTTATTGACAGCCTTCTTTGTGATGGGTGATGGGTCCCTTACCAACCATATCTCAGTGCCTGAGGGCCGTTCTGTGAAGGGAGTATGATTGGCATTCCCATTTTATGCTGAAGAACTGGGTGTGAGTCAGAGTGTGATTTGAACTAAGACCCTCTGATTTCAGTGTTGTGCCTTGTCCTCTCCCCCACACTACATTTCTGATTTTGGAGACCTTTCCTGGGAATTCCAAACTACAGCATCATAGCCCATGGTGCTGCCACAAACACGGATGCCTAGTTAGTCCAGAGTTGAAGAGGCCATGCAAAATCCTAACTCCTGCAACAAACGAACACAATAATGAATGGTGCCGTCCCAGAATGGATACCATCCTTGCTTAGAGAAAAGGATCTTGTGACCTTAAGAAGAAGCAAGGTGCAGACATCCAAAGAGAGAACGGCACTGAGGATATATTTTAAGGATAAAATAAAATCATGCTTTTATGGCAAAAATGGTTACTGTGCAGTCTGACCTTTAACACAACCTCACAGGCCAGTCTGATGGACCATTATCTACCGTTTCCACTGTCAATATCTCTCTGGGCAGTTTCCATTCAGCTCCAGTGTTTAGTACCAAAGGTCCTCAAAGTTTGTGAAAGCCTGGATAACACGGTCAGGCTGTCCTTTCATCTTTTCATGCATTAGGGATTTAACAACTAGACATATAAGAAGGGGGCCCAGGAAAGTGTGGGGATGAAGACTGTGATTGACAAGGATGAGAAGCCAGGGCAAGATGAGGAGCTGGAGTTGATGATGCAGACTTTCTCACCTTCATACCCTTGACCATGCTGCTCCCATCACCTGGTTTAAGCTTTGAGAGGACAGGATGTTGTCTATCTTTTCTTCTGCACCCTAATGCAGAGAAAGTGTGGGCTTTCCCAGGATCACTCCACAGGTTAGTGGTTTAGATAGAACGGGGCACTGAGCAGCTTGCAAAATGTACCCAAGGGCATGAAGAGGACAGGGGTGCTGCCCTAGTTCAAAGACCTTACACACTTTCTCCATTAAGGAAGAGCATGCCTGAAGAGTACAGGGTGGGTGTTTTCCTGTAAGACTTCTTTTAAATTTTTCCTTTCACTTTTCTATATTTTGAAAAAAAAATCAATATAAAAAGATAAAACTGAAAAGCAGGCCACCCTTCTGCCTATACATTTCCCCATCCCCTACCATCAACTCCTGAGGTGAACACTGTTACCAGTTTCTTGTGCATTTTTCTAGAGATAGTCTGAATATGTGAGTGTCCTTTTAGAAAAACCAAAAAATGATAGGACATTGTAGTTACTTGCTTTTCCCCTTTTTTTCACATGACTACATATTTTGGAGAATGTTCCATGTCAGTTTGTACACATCTGCTTTAAATTTTCACAGCTGCCGAGTATCCTATTATATGGATTTGGCATAATTAATCAATTTCCCTACCAGTGAACATGTAGATTACTTCTATCTTTTTCTATGCAAACATCATTTCAGGGACTATCATTGTGCACACATCTTTGTGCACATGTGTCACCAAGCCTGTAAGATCTAGAAGTGGACTTACTGGGTCAAAGAGTGTTTGAATTTTGAATCATTGTAACCAAATTTTCTTTCCTTCTAAGAGACAGTGCAGATGTATGCTCTTAATAATAATGTTTGAGAGTGCCTATTTTTCCACATAGCATATAAACTTTTTTTTTTTATATTTGATCAACTTTTAGGTTAAAAATAGTATTTCATGATTGTTTTTATTTGCATTAGGAGATTTGTTTTGTAACAAACACTGGTAAGAGGAAACTGAAACCTAACTCAGAGGTATAAAATTTTAGGAAAGCATTGTGCTGCTTTGAATGAATCTATGTCTTCTGGTCTGACTTAGACAAGTAAAATAAGAAAATTTTGTCAATAAGCACTCCAAGTTACCTGACTCCTTGGACAAGTAATACAAGGGGAAAGATATTCATAATACAAACCAAATACCAGGAAGCTTGATGTTCTTTTCAATTGGAATTCTAAATCACATCATGAAATGGGTGATTTGTCAGTGAGATGGTATGATGCAGGGAAGGGCCTTGACCCTGCAGGGTTGCGTTAAATCACAGCACTTACAGGCAGGGTGACCTTGGACAAGGTACTTCTATTTCTTCAGAATAAGATAGGAACAGCAGAGCCAGCCGCCAGAGTTACAGCAAAAACTAAAATAATTCATGTAAAATGCCTGGCACAAAAGATATTAGTTAAAATGGAAAGAAGAAGGTCAAATCCAAACCCTCTGGGGTTATAGGCCCCAGGCCCCGAGAAAAAGGGAAGAAGGCTGGACAGATAACCTGGAGATTGAACAGCTGAAAGCCAGCACAGCTTTGATTGCCTGGTAAAAGGCGGGCTTGCACCAAACCTAATGGTCAGATCCCAGGGGTAAAAAAACAGACAAACCACAAAACCTCCAAACCTCCAAATACTATCCCCCTTACAGTGTGAAACAAAACCATCTTACCAGTTGGGTATTTCTAGGGCCCACCATGTTTCATTCCTTGTGAATGGCCCCTGGAGCTGTCAAGAGGAAATACTGTGTACCTTTCTACCAACCCCATAGAGCAAAAAGATATATATTGTAGCTAATCCTCTTATTGGGATCGTTTACGGCCGAATGTGTAATTTGAAACAGTGGCTTTAAAAGCATGAGTGACTGGACTTATCCAGCCATGCTCCATGTCAGACACCACTGGGGCTTTGTTCTCCCATCTGGCTCTCTGTTGGACTGGATCCAGAATTAGGGAATGGGACTGAAGACATGGCCCTCTGCATCACAAAATGTCATCTTAGTGAGGACTCAAAGGAGAACTTTTTCCTGAGCCTCACATGAATTATGCAACCCATATTTGCTAGAGCCTCTAGAAAGCTCTGCAAATCCATAACCCACTTTTAGCAATTATATAAACAAAGCTTTATATCATCTGTTTTGTGTGCTAACCCTGGATGCATGTTATCATTTTCCCCCTTATTTTCTCTTTGCTGTTTTAGTTTTTGTCTTGTTAATGACACTCTGCTACTACTGCTACTATCAGAGATAATGGCCAGTGTTCAGCAGCTATCAGTCCTACTCGATGCCAGGCACCTGTTGTATAAAATATGAATCTATAAATGCCTCCAGTCCTTTTTGAAACCAAGCAAGGTATAAACAAAGAAACAAACAAACACAACTGCCAGATTCCCTCATCTGGCACCCATTTAGAGCATCTTTAATATCTGAACCAGATATATTAAAGAAAGGCTGCACTTCTTTGATTTCATAGTTCTCCTATGAACCTGTAATTTGGGAATAAACAAATCTACAAAGCAGAACAAGAACCTCTTAGCAGTCAGGGGCCATTAGTAAAGTGATAAAATCATTATAAACCTCAACCCCTAAGGCCCCAATAAGGAATGCAGTGATCACTGGAGGCCCACAGAGAACCCCAATACCAGACTACTCTCATGGCCTTTATATAGTGAAACAACAAAATGGGGAGTGGCAGTGGCCGTGTGGTCACTCATGCTGGGTCCTGGTCTAAGAACTGTCCTGCGTTAATGAGTTTAATCCTCATATCCACCCTATCAAGTAGGAACTATTTTCTATTTTCTATAGTTACAAAGTTACTAGGTTCACAGCCCAAGGAAATTTTCAAGATCTAGTTTGTATAAATTTCAGCAACGCATTTAATAAAATCCCTCCTCTAATCTTTTACACAGTAGAAAGATACAGGTGAGATATCCTGCATTTAGAGTCACAACTAATCACAAGATTATGTGTCACTAAAGCCAAAGAAATGCTCATAGATTTGACCTAATATTTCTTCTTCTGAGACTATATTTTAAGAAAACAGTCAAAGTTTCAGAGACATATATTCTCAGAGATGTTCATCAAAGTTTTATTTATAAAAGCAAAACATAGAGGCAGTGTAAATATTCAATAGCAGCAAACATCAGCAAAATACAATATATGTGGAAGGAATTGTATATACAGCCATTAAAATTATGAATGTGAATACAGTAAAGCAACGAAAACTAATAAGCTTAGAAAAAATACAGGAAGGAAATGCAACAAAAGGCAAAAATGGTTTAACTAGGGGCAGGTGAAAATGAGAGCTTTCTTTATATTTCTTTAATTTTCTGTTGCAAAAAAATGTATATGAGCTGAAGATGAAATATGATGTTAATTAATGGGAGAAACAAGAAGACGGGAAGAAAACTCATGTCAGTGTGTGGACACACCTCATTCACTCTTCTGAGAAGTTGTTTCCGTTTTATGAATGAAGAAATGGAGATTCAGAGAAGGTCCAGAAATTAGAACAAGGTTTCACACCTAGAATGTGGTAGGAACAAGAGTTGTGACAAGGTCTGACTAGTTTTCTAGTTCATAGCCTTTCCCTACCAGGTTTCCCCCACACCACATAGAAGAGGGTGCCTTTGGGCCATTTACAGAAAGGTGCCCCTTAGGTGCAGAGGAATTGCAGAAAGGCCCCTCCTCTGGGCAGAAGCAGCTGGTGCCACAGCTTTTGGCTTTTGGACTAAGCCTCGATTGAAATGCAACCACATCTGTCCCTGTCACTAGCAGCTCTGTGCAAGACATAAAATGCACCAGCACCCACCTAGCAGGCAAGATGGTGCCCAGGTGATCTTAGGTGGTCCCTCAGTGCTCTCTCTGAGATAGTACCACCACAAAAAAGGCATCCTTCTGTTCTCCTTCAGGCCATTTGATTCCACCAGGAGAGAGTCTCAGGTCAGGTGTAGGCCTGTAACACCTCTCAATTCTGTGTGCCTGTCTCTGCCACTCTCTCTCATGCATACACACAAAACAAGCCCCTTAGACCCAGAGCCTTTGCCTTGATTACGCAACAATATATAGGTGGCATTTATTAACATAATTTAATATTGAATTTTTTATTATGGTAAAATTCACAAAATATTCATGACTTCAACAATTTTGAGGCATACAATTCAGGGACATCTTGTACATTTACAGTGATGTGCAACCATCACCACTATCTAGTTCCAAAACACTTTCATCTCCCCAAAGAAAATCGTGTCATTCCCCATCTTTCCTCCCTCTAGCCCCAGTAACCACAAATCTGGATTCACCTTCATATAAATGTAATCATAAAATATGCAGCCTTCTCTATCTGGTTTCTTTCCTTTAGCATAACATTTCCAAGGTTCCTCCATGTCTTAGCATGTGTCAGTATGACATTTCTTTTTATGGCTGAATCATATTCCATAATCTAGAAACACACCACATTGTGTTTATCCATTCATTAGTTAAGGGACATTTGAGTTGTTTTTACTTTTTGGCTATTATGAATAGTGCTGCCCTGAGCATTTGTGTTCAAGTATTTGTGTGGATATGTTTTCATTTCTCTTGGGTAGACACCTGGAATTGCTGGGTCATATGGTAATTGTATGTCTAACTTCTTGAGGAATCACTCAACCGCTGTCCACTGTGCCTGTACCATTTTACATTCCTATCAGTAATGTATGAGGGTTCCAATTTCTCCACATCCTCAACTACACTGGTTATTTTCATAGTTTTTAAAGTTGTTATTATTATAACTGTCCTTGTGGGTGCAGAGTGGTATCTCATTGTGGTTTTGATTCTGCATTTCCCTGATAAGCATCTTTTCATTTGCTTATTGGCCATCTGTATATCTTCTTTGGAGAAATGTCCATTCAAGTTCTTTGCCCATTTTTAAATTGGATTGTCTTTATTGTTGAATATAATACCTTTATATAGTTTAGATATTAAGTCCCTTATTACATATGTGATTTGCTAATGTTTGCTCCCATTCTGTGGGTTGTCTTCACTTTCTTGATAGTTTCCTTTGATATATAAATTTTTTTTAATTTTGATGAGGTCCAATTTACCTATTTTTTCTTTTTTTGCTTGTACTTTTGTATTATATCTAAGAAACCATGCCCACATCCAAGGTCATGAAGATGTACCCCTATGTTTTCTTCTAAAAGTTTTAGAGTTTCAGGTCTTAAATTTAGACCTTTGAACCATTTTGAGTTAGTTTTGCATTGTATTTATTTTTATACTTTTAACAAGAAATTTTCTATTTATTATTCTGACATTGAGTTTCCTCCTCAGATATGCTTCTTGCAGTTAAGAAAAATAAATCAAATTGATGAAAAATATCAAATAAATAACAGTACAGAGGGTGCCCAGATGTGGCAAAGATGGTGAGTAAAACTTAGGATCCTGCAGTCAGACCATGATAAAGATAAGGGCGGTTATCCAGGGGAAGCTGCAGTCAGGAAGGAAAGGTAGGACTTGGCTGGATTTTGAAGAAGGAAGCCCAAGACATGAAGTCAGAAAATCCAAACCCCCAGATGCCAATTTCTCACAGTTGCTCTGTGACTGCAACATGCTATCTGACCTATCTGAAGTCCTGTTCCCTTATGAGTAAAAAAGAGGAGGATAACACCAGCCTCTCAGAGGTCTCAAGACAACCAAATGCCTTGAATCACATGAAAGTATAAGTTGTAAAATGCTTCATCAGTGTGAGTATCAGAGCCTAGACTTACGTTGGCTGGCAGGTGAACTTCAGAGTCCTGTTCACATGCCAGCCAACATAATTGCCCAAGAGGAGAGGAGGAGGGGAAGCATTCTAGAGGAACAGGAGTGAGTCAGGGCTTGGTGAGAGGCCCAGAATTTGGACAGTCCTGACTGTGTTGGGGAGGGTTGGGTGGAAGAGCTTGGTGCTGCATGGCAGCAGGTACTACCTAGGAGAGCACTGTGCAGGGAGGCAGAAAGGCTGCTTGCAGTTGGGGCCAGGCCCTGGAGTGGGGAGTTGGATGGCACTGTTCTACAGGCACAATTCTAGGTTCCTTGGGTATGCCAGGGTAGAATCAGGCTTCAAGTGTTTGGAGAGCTTACCGTATTAAGTATTTAAACTGTGTGTGGCAATATCATCTCTCCATCTGTCTTCAATCTCCTTTCCCATGCTGAGGCCACAACAGAGCTGTGTCCCCAGGGATGATGGGGATCTCTCCAAAAGGCTAGCCTATGGGTCACATATGAGTAAGAAATCAGCTAAATTTGATTTAACATGACTTGGGTCAATACAAACCTGAAAAGGAAATCAGTATGTTTTAAACCCAGGATTAACTTCATCCTCTAAATATTTACCATTTAAAAAGCTTTTTTTTTAAAACTTGGAAATCATTAAGCAGAACAAAAGTTTACAAAGTTGTCTTCCTTTTTCCCCAGATCCTCAGACCTTCTTCCCAGAAGCAACTATTGCTTCCAGGCACTTACATATCCTCTCCAAAACAGTCAAGATTTACATAAAAGTTATTCATGGAGCCAGACACCTATGGTTGGAGAACCTCTGATCTGACCCTGTCATTTTTCAGATGAGTTAACTGAGGCCCAGCAGTTAGTGACTTATTTCAGATCACTCCATAATGCAAATATTTGCTTACAAAACAGTAACTTAACATGTAAATTTGTTTTATTTATTCAATTATAAATACAGTTTTCTATAGCTTAATCAAAGTTATTTTGACTTTTCAAAAATATGAAAGTTCTGAAACTTCCAAAGTAATGAAAAAAAAAACCCCAACTCTCTATTGATAATGAGGATGGAGGATGGTGGAGGCGTTCTGAGGGTGAACACAATGGTGCTTTTGGGAAGACCTTGTTATCAGATGGGAGGGGAGAAGTGAAGGGGGTTGGAGTCAGGGGGACCCTTCAGAAAGTTATAGCAGCAGTGTAGGAATTAGAAGCAGGGGCTACTGCAGCCTGGAGCAGGGGGCTGGAACTGGTGGGCAGACTCAGCAGAGGTGCCATGGGCCTGAGGACCTACTGACTAGGGACATGCAGAGGAGGGCACTGCCCAGGCCATTGGGAACAGGATGTCTAGGTATCACATCAGGAAATGGAGCAGCTGAGTCTGGGTTGAGTGTGAAGTGGACAATCTTGTTAAGCAAATGGAGAGAAAGTGCAAGCCCTCAAGGACAGGGGCAGGGCTGGGCAGCTAACATCTAAGGATTTTGGAACTGACCACATCAGAGTAGGAGATGTTTGAGGATGGAAACATAAAGGACTTGTTTCTGAGCCTGAAGGAACACAGTGGCTAGGAGGCACCAGAAGGGTAGGACTTGATAAGAAAATACTCAGGCAGCCCCTGCAGGTTCTGGAGCAGAGCAGCTGATCCTGGAATCCCACTCTCAGAGGTGGAAGGGACCTCTCAGTCCTTGGACCCAGCTCTTGTCCCACATTTGAGAACTATTCCTGAAAAGTTGGCCACATACACCCTGTGGGCATACACACCTCAGAGAAGAAGGCCCCATCCTTTCCTGGCAGCAGCACATTGCCCCCTCCCCTACCTGTGGTTACACAGCTATCCTGGTGGAAAGGCACCTTGGGTGGTGAGGTGAGGTACCTTCTCAGGCTCACCTTCCCAGCCTTCACATCCCACCCTGAGAGTGTTCCCATCCATGGGTCAGAGGGTTGGAGCATCTGGTCACGGCCCCAAGTCCTCCCAGGCTACACACCCCTTGAGTGTCTCAGAATGCAGTTTCCAGACTTCTGGCTCTCTTGAGCACCAGGCTAAGGACCATGTACTCTGATGAGTGAGAGTGAGGCAGACCTGGCTAGAGCTGGTCAGCTCTGAATTACTGAATTAATCACATTTATTCCTCCTGCCCTTGGGAACCAAGGCTCATCCCCTTTCCAAAGAAGAGGAAGCTGAATCTTCAAGAGGCAAAGTGAGTTGCCCCAAATCACACCAGACAGTGAGGATGGAGCAGGGTTTGGACTAGGGTCTACCTCCAGGACCTCACTGCTCTCTCAGCAACCTGGGCCCTCAGGCCCAAGGGCGTGCATTAAAAGATCATTTGGGAGGCTGGTGAGCTGGTACCAACAAGAGCACGGTGATGGTTGTCCAGGAAAGGCATGGCAGTAGAGGGGTGGGTCATCTTCATCCTGTCAGAAGGGGCTCCTTCATGGCCTCTGTTGCCTACATAGTATACTGTGCCTCCCTAGGAGCAGGACATGCAAACTCTTCCAGGGAATGGTGTGGCCCATACAGGAGTGCCCCCACCTCCACCTGGTTCCTCTCTTTAGGTCCTGGAGCAAGATGGCAGGGCTGAAAGGCTTATCCTGTGGTCCCAGGCACACACGAGCCGATCTGAGAATTGTGTGGTTAGGAGCCATGGTGGCTCTGAAGTCAATACTCCTGGGTTTGAATCCAGCTCTGTCACTAGTAAGCGGTATACAAGTGACTACCCTTGGGACGATAGTAGTATCGGCTTCATGAGTTGTTGTGAAGGGTCATGGAATTACTACATGCAAACCCTTGGAAGAGTGCCTGGCACATAGTAAATAACTCAACAAATGTAATTATGTCAGACAACATCATCCTCATATTTATTTATTGCTCTGAACCTGAGGGACATAGACCAAAGGGTACAGAATCAACACCTACAGTTAGATGGGTATTGGAGCATCAACAGGGAAAGATAATTGATATACCGAAACCACCTCTCAGTTTTATGGCTGGGGACATAAGAATGGTAGGGACTGTGACAATCAGAAAGCCAGTGCCCCTCTAAAAAAGGAAGCTACTGCCCAGCCAGGTGCTGCCAAGTGAAAATTTGGCAACATAACATTGCCACATCTTTGGATTTTCTAAAGAGGTGGAAAAGTTTGGACTTACATATGAAATGTACTGATTTTTAAATGTGGCAATTAATTCAGTTTAAAAACAAATACTGTGTAGGCCACTCTTCTGAGTCTCCATGGTGCAGCTGTCCTGTACACTCACTGCTCCAAGGCCAGGTCAGGCCTCCATAGCCCTTCAAGGGAGGAGACAGTAGTGAAGGCGGGATATATTCCCAAGCCTCTCAAATCCCAAGCTGGCCTACTTCTCACCCAGTTCTCTGAGTGAGGGGTGGGAGAGTGTCTGTGAAAGAGTGTGGTTATGCTGCGGGAGCCCTGCAGTGGGGATTCTGCCCAACGTTACGCCATCTGTCCAGTCTGGAGATTGATTCAGAAACACTAAAGAGGCAGGAAAGTGACTTCATTCCACCGATTGATTAATCCCAAGCTGGCCTTCTTCTCACCCAGTTCTCTGAGTGAGGGGTGGGAGAGTGTCTGTGAAAGAGTGTGGTTATGCTGCGGGAGCCCTGCAGTGGGGATTCTGCCCAACGTTACGCCATCTGTCCAGTCTGGAGATTGATTCAGAAACACTAAAGAGGCGGGAAAGTGACTTCATTCCACCGATTGGGTCAATTGAGCACCTATTACACGCCAGCCACTGTTTTAGGCACTGGGGAGACAGCAGTGAGTTTGAGAGGCCAAGCCCCTACTTGGGTGGAACTGATGTTAACCCATGTGCATGCATACAGGTTGGGAGGGGGAGGTGCAGGTAGAGATAGATGGTAAACCTGCAAAAGTTCTGATACGTGCTGTGAGAAACAGAGCAGGCAAGGACCAAGGAGGGGCAAAGGCCCTGAACTGAGAGTGGTGTCAAAGGGAGCCCAGGATAAGACGGAGATGTGCCTGGCTAGGAAGATGGGTGGAGACAACGTTGAGAAGTAAGCAAAAGCAGGGCCCATGAGGCCCTCTTTTCCTGGTGGACACACTCTCTGAACCCCAGAGGCAGGCCCAGAGGAGCTGCATTATCCTGAACAATTTCTGACATATGGTTTGCTCCCCCCTCCCCATCTCTGGACAGATAACCTTTTCACATTCTCCTGTAATTCCTTTGTGTCTATAATACACACACACACTACCAAACTTCTTGAGTTCTTGAGGATAGAAAGCCTTGATTCTTTTTCAATTCTGAGCTCCCCCTACCTCTATGTTCTCCCCAGGGCCCTGAAATAATAGGCTTCAATATGAAAATGTGTTCAATTGAAATAATGACATGGCTTTAAGCATGTTACTTCAGTTTCCTCTCCTGTAAAAGGGGGATAATCACAGATTGTGATAAGGAAATGAGATAAAGGCTAAAAAATGCAAAGTCCAGATAACCTGGGCCGTGATAGGTCACTGGTGTTCCTGCTATGAGCTGGGAGCCCCCTGAGCTACTGTGAAAGGCTCTTTCCCTCCTTGATCAGGGAACCTCCTATTGACTCTGCTCAGGCCACCAGAGGAGCCTCAGTTTCCTCCTCTGAGGGGAATTCATGGAGAAAGAGGAGCCTTACACCTGTCCTGGTAACCGGGGGGCAGACGCAGCCACAAATCCCTTCTGGCTGCGTGTCCCCTCAGCCCAAACTCTTGTTGCCATGACTTATTTCAGTTAAGCCATTTTTAGCCTGTAGAATGTTCCCTCTCTTGGTCCACCTTGCCAGCCCCTGCTCCCACCCCACAACCCAGGTTTCGGAGCCCTATCCCCACGTTGGAGTCCCAACAAAGGCAGGCCCCAGGGGACCAGCAGCCACCAAATCCGAGATAGGGCTTTCCAGAAGCAGCTGGCAGAGCCCCTGGGAGATGGAAAGTGCCCAGGAATCCGGAGACCTTCGCTGGCTTCTGGGCTCCCCCGAGAACCTGCTTCCACTGGAGACAGAGAGCAGGGTGCCATCTCAGCCACCTCGCTGTTCCCCTATCCTCTTTTTTTCCCAGGCTGTGGAAGGCAAAGGGTTAAATCCCATAGAGCTGATGCTCTGACTCCAGGCTAGAGGGGCCCGGGAAGCTGGGGTCACTTCCTGCTCTGTCCCAGTCACCCTGAACTGGTCCCCGGGTCCTCAGCCTGGGATCACCCCTTGAGGAGGACCCCAGAGTCCTAGGCGTCTAGCCTGCCCCCCGAGGTAGGGCATTCAAGGGGTTAAGTCCCCTGGGGCTGAATTCTGCCTTCCGGCCTTTCCCAGACCCCAGAGCCGTGAGTTGGGGACGCCTGGGTTCCTGGGGGGTGGCCCGGAGGGCCCGGGACGGCCGCCGGGAACAATGGGGCGTGGGAGGCGGGGGCTGGGCGCTGGGCCCGAACCCCTTCCCCGTCGGGCGCCGGGCGGTGGGGGCCCGGCAGGGGCCGCGAAGGGCCGGGGATTCTGGGAAGAGCGCGAGGGTCTGGCTATGGGGGAGGGGAGGGCGTGAGCATTCTGGGAAGAGGGAATTCGGCCCGGCTGCAGCTCCGAGCCAGGCCGGGTGCCCCGGGGGCGGGGAGGGGAGGATGCCGGCTCCCCCTGGGAGCCAGAAGAGGGACGCGAAACCAGCGGGAGCTGAAGTCCAGGGTGTGGGCCGGGGCGGGCGTGGGGGGGCTGGGGCAAGGGTGGCTTCATTCCTGTAGCTGCCTCCATGTCAGGGTCACCCTAGGCCGCTCTGCACACCTCTGAGGGGCAGCCTCTTTCTCTCCCTCCCTACCGCGGCAACGGGGCTGGGCGAGGTCGGAGGCCGGTACTCTGAGGACCAGGCCTGGGTCGGCTCCAAGCACATCTTGCCTCCCTCGGTCTTCCCACTTTCCTCCTGCATGTGGGCCTTATCATTAACCCTTTCCCTTTTACTCTGGACCTCTGAGTTTGAATTTCTCTGAACAATTAAGGTACAGAAGCTCTTACCTGCCTTCAGCAAACACAGCAGGCCTCTTCCAAGTAGTCAGGCAGCCCCCAGTTTAACAGAGGTTCCTGCTTCCACCTCCCCAAAGACACTTACAGATGGGGGAGGAGGATTCTCATAGCCTGAGCTGCTGCAGAGATGAAGAAATTAATTACTTCCCCAAGTCTAACTGCTCTCTCTCCTCCTGCTGTTTGGCAGGGTTCAGCTAGCTCATGCTTCATTTTGGTTGCCTCCCTGTGCTGCCTCCAGGTTGTTGCCCATATTTCCTTGCACCTCTGCCTCCAAGACACACAGTGCCCACCCCCCACGACCACCCAAAGCCCAGGTCCTCCCCCAGGGACTCTTTTAAGGGTCTAAATACTGTGGAAGTTGTATACTTAGCTCTTGTGGCCCTGTTCCCTCATCCTGGAATCACGGCAGCTTTTTTGGAGGGATGCTGGTAAAGTTTTACCAGGAGGACACTCTGAACTCCTGTTCCTTTGCTGCCATCCCCTAGCCAACTGAACTTTAAAGACAATGAAACAAACAGATTTTCCAGGAGCAAGGAGCATCACATTAATTCAACAAAAATTTACCAAGAACTTATTATGTGTTAGGCATCATTGTAGGCATGGGATGCAACAGCAACAAAACAAACAGCCTAGAAGAAGGGGTACCAGGATGGGAATGATAATGAAAGGCTTTGGTCGGGAGGACTGTGAGTTCATGGACGCAGATTGTTGGGCCTAATCACTGGATCCAATCCCTCCTTTTACAGCTAAGGAATCCTCTTGGTCCCAGGAATTCCTGCACCCCATTCTCATGGCCAGCAGACTATGTCTGAGCTTTCCTCATCACCCAACTCCTACCAGCAGCCCACATTTATGAGTTTCACATGACTCCCAAGGTCATCTCTCTCTCTCTGAGTCCGGGGCAAGCCAGACACAGCCTTGCGTTTCTGGTCTTAGTTCTGTCACTTCCCAGCCTGTGACCTTGGAGAAAGCTCCCTGGGCGTTGATTTCCTAATCTGTAAAATGGACAGTCCAATTCCTGGGCCTCCTCACAGGACAGGGGGAGGACTGGGTGAAAAAACAAGGACAGCACAGCAGGCACTGTGTCCGCTGCTGGGTACTGTCCAAGCTTTGTCCCTTCTCTTTTCCTTTGTTTCCCTCTCATGGTCATCCCTGCAGAAGCCCCTGATGGCTTCAAACTGCCCCTTTCCCTTACCTCCTGCTTGACCTTTCTGTGCTGGGATAACGGGAAAGGGCCCTGTCCTTTTGGAGGCCTCTGTCCCCTCAGGGAAATTGTGGTGGTTTCTTCTGGATTTTTTTTAACTTCAAGGGTTCCAGTTCTCTGTGGGGCTCATAAGGAAGTTTATTGGTCCCAATTAGCAGCCCCATTAAGGAGGAAAATTAGAGCCTTAATGAGCTTCCTCTGATTTGCAAAATAACAGGTTTCCCAGCCTCTGGGCATTACAGGGGTGGGGTGAGTGCCTTCTTCCTCTGTGGGTGTGGGATACCTCTTCAGCCCCCAGTCTGGGTTCAAAGGGTTATGACTGATGAGCTTTTAATTACTCTCTTAAATTCACCTACTTGCTTAGTTGTGATCTTAAGATCTGGAGTGGGAATCAGGCCCGTGGGAGCCACAGTGAGACCTGACGCCCCCTAAATTGGGGAATCGGAATCTGAAGTTCACATAAGGAAGAATAGGGATGGCAAGTGGGCAGGTGGGGGAGTAGGGCTTGGGGAGTGATGGGAAGCTGGAGATCGGCTCCCATGTGTGCTCCTCTCTCCTTCCCCAGGGTTCCTGCAACACTGGGCAGTCCTGAGCTCTGGGATGGAGCCTGAGGTGGCACTGTGGGGCCCAGATCTGCAGGGTTCTGAGCAGAGCCCCAGCGATGCTCACAGAGGTGAGGGGCACAAGAAGGGACTGTAGTCCTGACAAGACAGTGGACCCAGTTTAGGGAGGGGCCCAGACTCTGGGGAAACCCAGGGGAGGGAAGAGAGACCCAACCCCATGTTCTGGAAGGAGATGGGGGCTGGAGACTCCCTTTCTCTCTATAGGTGCCGACAGTGGGAACGAAGAGGAGAGCCCTCAGCAGGAAAGTTCTGGGGAGGAGATCATCTTGGGAGATCCAGCTCAGAGTCCAGAATTCAAGGACCCATCAGAGATGCCCCTGGAGAGAGCCTCCCAGGATCCCTCAGTCCCCCAGGACTCTCCAACCCCACTGGGTGACTCCAACCCCTTGGACCATCAGACCCCTCTGGATACCCCTACCCCTGAAGTAGAACCCACCGCATCTGACTGGACCAAGGCCTGTGAGGCCAGTTGGCAGTGGGGGACCCTGACCACATGGAACAGCCCCTCAGTCCCAGTGAACGAGCCCAGCCTGCGGGAACTGGTGCAAGGCCGCCCATCTGGGGCGGAGAAGCCCTACATCTGCAATGAGTGCGGCAAGAGCTTCAGCCAGTGGTCCAAGCTGCTCCGGCACCAGCGCATCCACACAGGTGAGCGGCCCAACACCTGCTCTGAGTGCGGCAAGAGCTTCACCCAGAGCTCGCATCTGGTGCAGCACCAGCGCACGCACACTGGCGAGAAGCCCTACAAGTGCCCCGACTGTGGCAAGTGCTTCAGCTGGAGCTCCAACCTGGTGCAGCACCAGCGTACGCACACAGGCGAGAAGCCCTACAAGTGCACTGAGTGTGAGAAGGCCTTCACCCAGAGCACCAACCTCATCAAGCACCAGCGCTCGCACACGGGCGAGAAGCCGTACAAGTGCGGTGAGTGCCGGCGGGCCTTCTACCGCAGCTCGGACCTCATCCAGCACCAGGCCACGCACACGGGTGAGAAGCCCTACAAGTGCCCCGAGTGCGGCAAGCGCTTCGGCCAGAACCACAACCTCCTCAAGCACCAGAAGATCCATGCTGGTGAGAAGCCATACCGCTGCACTGAGTGTGGCAAGAGCTTTATCCAGAGCTCAGAACTGACCCAGCACCAGCGCACGCACACCGGCGAGAAGCCCTACGAGTGCCTGGAGTGTGGCAAGAGCTTCGGCCACAGCTCCACGCTCATCAAGCACCAGCGGACTCACCTACGCGAGGACCCCTTCAAGTGTCCGGTGTGCGGCAAGACCTTCACGCTGAGCGCCACACTGCTGCGGCACCAGCGCACGCACACTGGGGAGCGGCCCTACAAGTGCCCGGAGTGTGGTAAGAGCTTCAGCGTCAGCTCCAACCTCATCAACCACCAGCGCATCCACCGCGGTGAACGGCCCTACATCTGTGCCGACTGCGGCAAGAGCTTCATCATGAGCTCCACCCTCATCCGCCACCAGCGCATCCACACAGGTGAGAAGCCCTACAAGTGTTCCGACTGCGGAAAGAGCTTCATCCGCAGCTCCCACCTGATCCAGCACCGGCGCACCCACACGGGCGAGAAGCCCTACAAGTGTCCGGAGTGTGGCAAGAGCTTCAGCCAGAGTTCAAACCTCATCACCCACGTGCGCACCCACATGGATGAGAACCTCTTCGTGTGCGCCGACTGCGGGAAGGCCTTCCTGGAGGCGCACGAGCTGGAGCAGCACCGAGTGGTCCACGAGAGGGGGAAGACCCCAGCCCGAAGAGCTCAGGGTGACACCCTACTGGGGCTTGGGGACCCTGCCCTGCTGACCCCACCTCCCGGAGCCAAACCACATAAGTGTCTTGTCTGTGGAAAAGGATTCAATGATGAGGGCATTTTCATGCAGCACCAGAGGATCCATATTGGAGAAAACCCCTACAAAAATGCAGATGGCCTCATTGCAAACCCAGCCCCCAAGCCACCTCAGTTCCGACCTCCGAGGCTCCCTTTTGGAGGGAATTCCTATCCAGGTGCTGCAGAGGGCAGAGCTGACCCTCCTGGACAGTCCTTTAAGATGCCTGATGGGCAGGAGTGCTTCAGCCAGAGGCTAGGCCTGCTCTCCTCCAAGTCCTACATTTGTTCCCACTGCGGAGAAAGCTTTCTGGATCGTGCTGTGCTCCTCCAACATCAGCTCACCCATGGCAACGAAAAGCCCTTTCTCTTTCCTGATTATAGGATTGGCCTAGGGGAAGGGGCTGGTCCCAGTCGCTTTCTAAGTGGGAAGCCCTTTAAATGCCCTGAATGCAAAAAAAGCTTTGGCCTCAGCTCTGAGCTGCTGCTGCACCAGAAAGTCCATGCAGGTGGGAAACCCCCGAAGAGTCCAGAGCTGGGGAAGAGTTCTTCTGTCCTCCTGGAGCACCTGAGGAGCCCCCTGGGGGCCAGACCTTACAGATGCTCAGATTGTGGGTCCTCCTTCCTTGATTGCCTGGCCCTCACCCAGCACCAGGAGACCCACACCCCAGAAAAGTCCCCTGGACCCGAGGACCCCCTTCCAGCGCCAGCCACGCAGACCACAAACCAGGAAGATGAGGGAGAAGCCCCAACCCTAACAGGGAGCAGCAGCCACCAGGAAGGGGAAGGGGAAAACCCCAAAACCCTCTTGAAAAAAAAACCCTATTTGTGCCCTGAGTGTGGAAATGGCTTCAAAGAAGTCGCAGCCCTCCTCCTCCATAGGAGCTGCCACCCAGGGATCACCCTGTGAAATGGGTCTGGAGACCAGGAGCCTCTCTCTAATTGAGAGGAACACTGGATCTCCCCTAAAATTACATGGGGAAAGGAGGAAAACCCTATCAGATTGTAGAGATGTGGAGGATAAAGAACCCTGGGTAAAAATAGTGCTTTTACATCAGTGATGAGAAACCTTATAAAATTGTTGGTGGGAACCACTTACAAGGCAGTAGAGAAAAACTGTTGGGTTAGAAACCTTATAAATATGTAGGAAAAAAAAAAGCCCTTTAAGTCTAGCAGAAAAAAACCTATAAACCATAGTGGATAAAAGCCCTATTAATTGTAGGAAGAGGTCCCAATATGTCTCTAGACAACCCTATAAAACTGTATTGAAATCCTTGTGAAACTGTAGGGTCAGGGAAGTGCAGGGAGTATGATGGCCTTGACTTGGAAGGAGTGACCCTCAGGAGGTATAGAAGAACCTCCCGTGGACTTGTCCCAGCGTTCTCTCCCACTGGATGACGGGGGAGCCTCTCTCCCAGAAGCCTTGGACAATGACACTGAGGAAAATGCTCAGCTGGGGAG